CGTCAGGACTCCTGCTACCACAGTCAAAGAAGTAAATATGGATACAATCATCCCTTTCCCTTTGCCAAACCGGAACCCCAAACACCCAGTGAGGGAGCTATCTATTCCAGAGTTTTTGGCTAATTCACTAGCAAGAGTAGTAAGCCCCGTAATGCTTTAATTATCATGCTATCTGGGGCTGTGTTATTTGCAATAAAGGTGCAGCAATGGTGCCCAACATTACACACACATGCCCTTTTTCAGCTAGTATCATGTCTAGGGTGATCCTATTCTATATGGCTACAGGCCATCCTGCTTGTAGCATCCAATTGTTCTGCAGTTCCCTTTATTGCCTCATTTGTATAGGTTATAAATCTCTGCTGATTGTAATAGATGTAGTTTATCCAATCTTCATTTTTGTTAATTGTCACCCACCAGAATAGAGATTCAAATCTTGCAGCAATTGATTTCTAGCCTTAAATTCATCAGGGACACCTCTGGGCGCCCCAGTTGAGTCCATATATATAGTATCATCATCAAATGGGGCTCCCAGGCTCCTTTTGTTCCTTTTTCGAATGTGTGATAGATCCTTCTCAAATGCCAGAGTGAACGGTATAGCCAGTTGAACAAGTGCACAGGTACCTCCCCAATGAGATGGGAGAATGGACCGTAAGATCTTCCCACCACAATACCACAGGAGATCCACTCTAGGGATTCCCAGCCTTGAATAGTTTCCTGCTGAATCCTTCATAACATCCAAGGTTTCACTGCATAGTGAGAAATGCCCTACAGGCCTGGTAGCCCTCACACCCTGCCTTGAGAGACAAGCTGTATGGTTACCTATGGCCATAGAGAATGCAGGAGGGATTTTGGCATCCATCTCCAATATCGGGGGAAACAACAGGGAGAGTGATTTACAGGCTTCATTTCCCCAGGCAGTTTTCTCCTGGTACAGGGCGATCATACATTGCATTCCTTGGGAATCCCTGGTCCATCCCAGAGGAAGGGGTACTGCCTGAGCTACAGGCTGTCCTGATGCGCAAGCATAGCAATTGCTATGGTTGAGACTCAGAACAGTATACTTTATCCATTCTACCCAGGCATTCACATCCCTGTATCCTGTCTCAGTTTCAGATGTTTGTCTGAGATCTTTTATTTCCATAATTACTACAGCTGCAGGACTTTCAGAAGGATTTTTCTCTCCCTTTTTCTTATCCTGAACCTTTTGAGCATGATCAGGCAATGAATCCCATACTGCTACTCTGAATCTAGCTACTGGGTCTCTTCCCCAAACATTTATTCCAATCCCAGAAGTGATGTTAACAAGGCTATCGGCCTTGCTAATTGTTATTGTCACTGGATTACACTGCAAGGCCTGGCAGTCTGGTTGGACAATTCCCCTAAACATACTAATCCGTTCTTTTAGGGTGTGTGATTGCATCATACTGAATAGCCCTGGGATATATGTCCAGCCTTGATAGGCAGTCATCCACCATACATTATTCCATCCCCCACAAGGGGATCTCTTATTCATGCCTAATTCAGGACACAGGTATTTCCCTTCATGACTCAGTTGTCGTTGGGCACTTAAGTCCCCACAGGCTGTCACACTGCAAGCATCAAATGTGACAGTCTGAGACGTTTCTCTCCTTGTTACATTCACCCACATCTTAACAGGGTATCCTCCTGCTCCCCTCTGCAGGTCATCCTTTTCCCAGGCAATCAGTTGACTAAGACATTCTTTAAAGGTGATCACTGTCAGAATCAAAACTACTAATCGGTCCCTCTCCTGCACCATTATTAACTCCTAAACATCTATACCATTACTATAGTGAAGATATATATATATATGTATATATTTGTACTTCTAGTAGAGTATATATCCTAAACACCTCCCTACCTATACAGGTTATGAAAGGAAAAAAAATAGATTAGTTTATTTACAATTTCTTTCTAATTTTTATCTTTAGAGGATCCTCCATAGCAACAGTTTCCCACGCTTTAGGGTTAGTAAAGTGTTTTACTCAAGTGTAGCGAGTCCAACCTTTCTCGGCCGTCCTGACAGCTGTTTCTGTTGTCAGAAGTACTTGGAACGGTCCTTCCCTGTCAGGTTGCAACTTTGCCTCCTTCCAGATCTGGATGAGGACCCAGCCTCCAGGTTGGAATGGATGAATCGGAGATTCCAGAGGTGGTGTCTGTGCTAACAATCCTTGGATTCTGAGAGACGATAGTGAGGAAGACAATCCAAGTACATAGCTCTTAAGAAACGTATCTTTAGTTTCAAACTGCAGTACCTCATTTTTCCTTCAGCTTTATTTTTAAAGGGGTTATTTTCAACTCCCCTGTTCCCTTCCTTTGCCCAGACCATGGGATCTATATCTTTCTCATCCATCTCAGTTAACACATTCATTGATACTGTAATTCCCTCCTGACAGGTTGTTACCTGTATTCCCAATTTCATCGTAAGATCTCTCCCCAATAAATTAGTGCCTGCATCAGGTACATACAATAATTGTCCTGTTATTGTCTTGCTCCCTAATCTCAATTCAGTGTTTTCAAAAAGTGGTACTGTCATCCCTTTTCTCTCTACCCCACTTGTACCCTGTTCCTGGTACTAGGATTATACAGTTACTTTCTGATGTCTGTACTCCCCCCATATACGTTTTATTAAATTCTATAAAATACTAAAGGGCACAACAATGTGTCCACCTGGGTATGCACCCATCTGTCAGCTTGCTCTCTTCCTTTCTAAATCATTAATTAGATTCCTATCCTCTTTAAAATACCTTATAGGTACTGATTAAGGTTCAGATATCTAAGTTTACCATCTGGAATTAAAGCCAGTTCACCACTTTCTTTTCCTTCAGCTGCCTGTTCTGCCACCTGATCCATCATCATATTCCCAGTTTCCTGTACAGTGCCACAATTCTGATGTCCTTTGCAATGTATAACAGCCATGCTGCTCTTTGGTAGATTTACATCATGCTGAATTTGTTTTCCTTGTGTGTAAGCAACCCTCGCTCTTTGCGGACTGTACTATGAGTGGGTACCACCCCAAAAGCAGATTTAGCATCTGTCCATATATTTAAAGTTCTTGTCAAGGCAGTTATTTCAGCCTTCTGAGCAGAAGTCCCCACAGGTAATGGTTTGGCTTCAATTACCTTGTCAGTAGCAGTTACTGCATGTCCTGCCTTACAGTTTCCTTGTCTCACAAAGCTGCTTCCATCAGTGAATCCAGGAATCCTCAGCGTCGCCCAACGGTTCCTCCTGTAGGTCTGACCAACTGGCATAGACAGCCTCCCTCAGTGCACACTGCTGGCTTGGAGGGAGCTCTTTGTTGGTGTTCTGGGTGTTCAGCAAACTGCTTCCTTCTCTTTGATCAGTTGTGCTTTCTGTTGAGAAACTTGATAGCCATTTAAATCAAGAAATTCAGCAAACTCACAGTCCACTGTACACAGTCCTCCTTGGTTCCTGTGGCATCCACATACTGCAGCAAAGTTCCACCGTGGAATAGAGGAACCCAAATCTCAGGCTCACTGGCTAACCAGTTCCCAAAAATCACTGGGTTGTTCTCACTACCCTGGGTAACACTGTCCAGGTTAACTGAATTTTTTTTAATTATTTTATTATTATTTATTTATTTATTTTCCCCATATTGGAGTTTTCTTATTCAAAGGCAAATAATTTTAGACTTCCTTCAGCAAAACCAGGCAGAAAAAGGCATACTTCAAATCCAGAACGGTAAACCTCACCTACTTATTCCTCAATTTGGTTAATGAAGTACATGGATTTACCACCATGGGTTGCATATCTTCAACATTTCTATTAATTACCCTCAAATATTTTACCAAACAATAGCTCTTGTCAATCCAAAAAGTTATTTATTATTTCATTTATCCTCCCTCCTATGACCTTGTATCCTAAAAGGGCATTGCTTTACCCTGGCTGGGCTGACTCCTGTCTATAACTTAAATTTTATGGAGTTACCCTTTTTTTTTTTTTTCTTCTCTGCCAAGCATTCCCAATGCCTGCAATCCTGTATATACCTGATTTAGGATTTACCTAACTTCTGGGGGTACAACATTGCTTTTCCCAGTTTGTGTTAAAGCCAGACTTAAAATTTTCAGTCAATTGGCCTTGCTTGACAATTACCTCCAATTTTTTTACTGAATTTAATCTCTACATTCAGCTGTTCTAATACATCATGCCCAAGTAATGGTTTTGGAGAACCTGGCATGTACAAGAATTTATATATTCCTACTTGTTCACCTAACCTGTATTTAATCGGTCCCCAAAAAGTAAACTTCTCTTGCCAGAAGCTCCTAAAACTATTACAAAAATCATCTACAGGTAATAATTCTTGATGTAGCACACAGTAAGATGCACCCGTATCAGAAAATAAACTCTTTACCCTGCTTCCCCAGCTGCCTTCGGTCCAGTGGGGGTGGAACTCTCCGTGAGCCCTTCCAGGCTCCCCCTTACCTCTTCTTCTAGGTAAGGACATCCCTGTTACTCCTTGCTCAACTTTGTGTTCCTCAGCCTGTGTTTTCCAAACCCTTTTCACTTGCCAGACTTTCATCATTAATGAAATATAATGTTAGTAATTTTGGTTTCACCTTCCTTCCCCAGGATTCCGGTGCTTACACTGGGATGTCAGGTTTCCCGAGATCTCTGCAGATGACAGCTATTCTCACTCTCACTGTCCCATCTCATCCCCATTCACAAGTCATACACCCTGCACAGTTACAGCGGGAAGCTCTCTCACTCTGAGTTGTACTTACAAACCGTTGGGGGGGGGAGGTAGTGTGGGGGATGTGTTCTCATGCCAACCCAAACTCCAATATCTCAAACTCACTGGTTTTCCTTAACCTTTTTTTTAAACAATATTTGTTTGTTTTTAAAATTCCACTATTTGTACCCCCAATTACATTTCCATGTACCATTAACAAATGCAGTTCCATACAGCATCGAGACAGTTACTCCTACTACCTCCAAAATCCACAAACCAAACAATACAGTTCTTCAACTTCTGCAAACACCCAGCATTTGGTCTTATGATTAGGGTACTCAATTGTAAAACTGGTCCAATTACTCATTTATGTTCTGGTTGGTTTTTCTTTTTTTTTTTTTAATTTCAAATAGTGCTCACCAGCAATACTTCACCAGTGAGCCTAAATACAAGCCAAGGGGTCTTCACGATATCAATTTAGACACCCTCTTCCTATTTCTGCCTCTCTCCGTATTCATTCCCAACACTTGCACAGCTGCCCACCACCTTCTACAATAAACAACATACTACTGATAAACATAATCAGTACATCTCTAACAAGAAACAGGAGAAGCATCGTTACGTTACCATTACATTACATTCAGATTAGGCACTGGACTGGACAGCCTACTGTGGTAGTGACAGTACTTGAAATAGCTTTTTTGCTACGTCACATCACAATCAGAAAGACAGTGACAATAATCAGTCCTACCTTCCCTCCGTATGCTTTTCCCATATTTTCCTAGCTGCCATCCTCCTTCACCAATGAACATCATGTCCATGATAAACATCACTTCCATCCATCAGTAGAAATTAAGCTCTAGAAGTTGATCTAATTGTTCTGCGACACTTATAGGATCCTCAATTAAGAAATTCTTCAAGTTCTTGACTTTTCTTCTAGTAACAAAAGCTAGCATTAGCATATCTTATTTTCCTTTGACCTAAGGAGACTGCCCTAAAGGATAAAGTGAAGTATTACTGAGGTTCATATTAGAGAAAGGAAAGCTCTTCAGGACCCATTCACATTACTCCAACTCCCTCAGTAATCTAGAGTGCATCTTCTCTGTCACTTGCATTGCTTTAGTAATTGGGGGGGGGG